GTAAAAAAAAAGTTGAGCACAGAAGCATGTGTAGGTATGATTTCTATGTTGTCCTAATGGAGAATTTTAAGACTGATGATATATAGCTCATAACTGAAAAAAATGAAAAGAATCCTTGAAGCCTCTTCTCAGGATTCCCAAGCCCTTGGTTATTAAACTGGAAGATAACAAGATAACTTCAATATGTTAGAAGCTCAGATGTGTTGAGAGAACTGAAATAACAAAAAGAATACCTAGAAGCCAAACAGATCAATCAGCTGTATCCCACTTCCAGCTGTATCTGGCACAAAGCTTCAGCTGGTTCTGTAAAATGTATGGCCTCTGACTAGTGCAGTCTTTTTTTTTTTAGCATATTTTTTTATGTTATGTTAATCACCATACATTACATCATTAATTTTTGATGTAGTGTTCCATGATTCATTGTTTGTGCATAACACCCAGTGCTCCATGCAGAACGTGCCCTCCTTAATACCCATCACCAGGCTAACCCATCCCCTCTAGAACCCTCAGTTTGTTTCTCAGAGTCCATAGTCTCTCATGGTTCGTCTCCCTCTCCGATTTCCCCCCCTTCATTTTTCCCTTCCTGCTATCTTTTTTTTTTTTAACATATAATGTATTATTTGTTTCAGAGGTATAGGTCTGTGATTCAACAGTCTTACACAATTCACAGCGCTCACCATAGCACATACCCTCCCCAATGTCTATCACCCAGCCACCCCATCCCTCCCACCCCCCAGCACTCCAGCAACCCTCAGTTTGTTTCCTTAGATTAAGAATTCCTCATATCAGTGACGTCATATGATACATGTCTTTCTCAGACTAATGCAATCTTGATTGGACGTTTCTTCATTGCCCTCATCTATAATGTGAGGGAGTTGGACTTGTAGGCCTGTAGGGTGCATTCCATTTCTGAAGAACTGTGATGGTTTAGGAATTAAGTAGGCAGTTATAGAAGAAAAAAGTGACATCAAGATCAGAATTTCCTATTTAGCCATGAAATGGCATCTCAGTGTTGTGGAAAGAGTAGAGACCCACGTACCTGTTTCCTCCTCATGAAATTAGTTTCAGAATGAATGCTTTGCCCACCTCAAGACTTATGAAAATCAATCTAGAAAGTGGATGTGAAAACAATATCTTATATAAATATATAGTACCATTAGCATTTGCAGCAGGGAGCACTAGCAATAGTGAGCTCACAAATATTTTATATATATAAGTAGAATCCTAATACCATGAACATGAGCATTTTCAAGTTTTTTTTTTGAAATACCAAAATTCAGTTTTATTAATATTACTTTAATTGGACCGCTGATTCCTCTTGAAAACCTTTTTTACTCTTAAAAATTTTAATCTATTTTAATGGCATTGACTGCACCTCAAGTCAATCCACATTTATTTTTTTTATTTATTTATTCAAAACAATCCAGCTGTGTGCCCAGACTTTCACATTCTCTAAAGTCCTTCAAATGCTTCCTAAAGTACCATTTACCCAGTTAGTATTTTTTATTTAAATTATCTTTATTGTTCATTTTCACCTCTCTTATTTAATTTATACATCTATCCCATAAAATGCACTTGATAAAACTTGTAAGGTTTCATAAAAGAGAAAGATGTTGGTCAGTCAAGGCTAAGAGAACAGAAAAGGAAAGAAAATAGGAAAATGTAACCAAAGAAAAAGTTCACACTCAGAAATGCATGCCATAAGGATTCTAACCAGAACTTTTCAAAGAGCTCTAGTTCTATTGCCTTCTTAATAGTTATTATGACAACAAAAAAGAAAGATGAGGTTTTAGTAAAAAGAAATCAATAGTAAACACTGGAGTGAACAAGATTAACTAATTCTGTTTATAATAATATTTCTCAGAGCCTTTCATGAGTAAATCTCTATGAGTATCTGTCAGGATCTTTGTTCCATATCATAAAGTCACAGGTTTTTGTTTGTTTTTTGTATTTTTTCCCAGGAAAACAAAGATTTTTGTGGTATTTAAGACTGAGACAAATTTCTCTCTTTAATATTCAAACAGGGGAAATTGAGTGATAGAGCAGAGAAAATCCTCAACACCAGTTCTTCAATAAATTCAGTTGTTTTATGTAGACGTGGTAATGTTACACATATAATTTTCCACCAATTTTATATTGAAATAGTTCTTTTGCAAGCCATGTAGGCTTTATAGCAGTTTTAGAAAATGATAATAATAATATAATAATAAAAATATGAATATTTATATTTATATATAAATTTATATATAAATAATAAATATATATAATAAAAATAATAAAGTGCTACAGAGGTGTAATTTTTATTTTTAATTTTTCATTGTTATCTGCATCATTTTCTTTTGTTACAGTGCCAAGTTATGGCATACAAACCGACAAGAACAAAATCATAATACATCTAATAGCAAGTTCTAAACTTTCACTTAAACCTTTTAATGTAGAAACACTTAAAAAGCATAGAGGTGGCTGTTCCTAAAAGCCTACTGTTTGAGAGAAAAGGAAACTGGTAATAATTACTATGGTAATTATGGTAAAAATGGAAGGAGATTACAAAATAAGCTTATACATTTTATTAAGTAGAGTTTTACTGTTTCACCAGATTTCCTTCCTTATTCATTTGCTAAATCCAAATGGCTTTGACGTTGCATTATTTGCTCAAATTTTAAAAGGATAGCAAACACAACCATATCAGTTTATACATAGGTAAGTAGATCATTATAGGTAGGTAGATGATAGATGGACAGTTAGATAGGCAGATAAATAGACATTATATGTTTCGACCCCATAAGAAAATATGTCATCTGTGATGAAATTTTTGTTTCCCAGACATTTTCAAGCATTTTCCCTTCAGATGATTTATTGCTTCCTGATTACTAGAGCAAAATAATAGAAAAATAGTAAGTACAAACTAGATCATATACATTTTGTTATATAAAATTTGTTTCTAAATGCATTCGATAAAAATTCAAAATTGGAAATTCATTTTAAGAAGGTACCAATGGAGGCATGTACATACTTTTAATACTGTGCACCTGTTTCCTACAAAGTATTATTCTGTCAAACACTCCAAAACAATGACTTTGATGAAACTTGAGTAAAATAAAAAGAGCAAATATTTATTTTATCCCTTTTCCAGTAGTTGGGGAGAAGGCTGGAAAAGATTGGAGGAAGGGCCTTGTTCCATTTTCAAGAATGTTTTGTGTGGTCTTGCAGAACAAACAAAATCTCAGATAAGGTCAGTCCTTACAGATTGTGCAGCCATTTTATGCACGTGAAAGATCCGTTAGCCTATTCAAGAGAGGACAAAGTATTAAACATTTTAAATGCTTTGAAAGAATAGTCTTTTAATATTGAGGTAGAAAAACAGATGTCTGCACATCTAGACAAGCATAAAATATGTTGGCTATCTGAAATGAAAAACTATTCCAATTCAGTAACAGCTCACATTCATTCCACTATAGTGAGTACCCTTTTACCAAAAAAATAATGATATATTTGTTTTAAATATTATTAATATTCTATGTGACATTTAATGAAATTACATTGCCTTTTTATATCTATGTAAAAAGATTTGAGAGATGAACGGTGAAATTTAACACAGAATACAATGTAAGCCTTAGAATATTTTAAAAATATGTTTAAAACCAAAGTTCTTAAACATTTTTTAAATAAATTAAAACAAAGTTTTCAAAAATTTTAAAAAATAATTAAATTGTTTAGTCTTTGTTAAGTCATAATTAAGTTAAAGAAAAATGAGCATAGTTTACAAATAATATTAAGGATAAGAGCCCTTGCAAATAAGAGTTTTTTATGGAAATTCTAACAGACTTTTAACTGCTGACATCATTGTGTTATTTGAATTAGTCCCATGGAACCAAAAGAAAAAGCTTCCAAACAATTTATAAATGAATCTTTCTCTCTTGTGTAACATTATTTGTCCTATTGAAACACTAATTTTCTACTACTTCTCTTGTTAAAATTAAGCCCTGGGGGGAACTTCATAGTTAACTAGTAATATTAAATTTTGAATAAAGGAGTTCTATATTATACTTAGTATTCATCTTTTGTTTTCTCCATAAATATTTATATGTAATAGTATGCATCTTAAAGCAAAATAATGTAGCCACTAGGAATCATGAGCATGGACTCCGTGTCCCATAAACCAAAATCAGACAGAAACTAAAGCTAAAACAGTTTATTATTTGAAATCATAAGGACTATCTGCTAGAAATTCTTTTAATGATTAGGTGTGCTAAGAAGTTTGAGGCAATGATCCAATTAGCACATGCTTTGTCGGGGGAAAAAAAGTCTATGTATATTGTATCCTGAGCATTTTACTGTGCGCTCCACTCTAGGACTAACATCATCATTGGGAATAGGAAAGGCCTTTGTGGCCCTTATCCAATGCTTCCTAGGGACTCGGAATTGTCTGGATTATTTTCATCAGCCTTAGGTTTGTAGTTTCACTTAATAAAGAAAATGTATGCACCATCTGTATAATAACAGAAGGGAACAAGCATTCCAACAGGGTTTTCATATGGGTGATTATTATCTTTCTCACTGTGGGTGACCCTCTAGTAAGACAAGGTTTTCTCTACTATGGTTGTCACATGGTCAACTGCTTCACCTTCTCATTGGATTTCCTGTGATCAAGCTAAATTTAGTTCGTTACGGTTATTACTAAGTAGGAAGGAAAATGACATTAAAAGTGTTGGTTTTGCCTTGACAGTTTAAACTGGATCATTCCTAGTAATCCAGTGTCCTGAAACTTTTAGTAAAATCCAGGAACTTCGCATATATAAATGATGTTCCTGAGAGATTTTTAGCAAGTGTAAGGATCCATAATTAATATTAAAATCAAATGTTATAAAATGTAATACAAAATTATTTATGCTCTATGGTTAAAATGAATTAATGGTAAATACTTTCAGCATAAAGAGTTATAATATAGAATGTTTAATATAACTGTATTAAGTGAAATGCTTCTTTTCACTTCTTAACAGCCCATCGGTGCTTTGAACCCAAAAAGAGCTGTATTTTACGCAGAGCGCTATGAGACGTGGGACGATGATCAAAGCCCCCCCTACCATTATAACACGCATTACTCAACAGCAGCATCTACCTTATCCTGGCTTGTTCGAATTGTGAGTATCTTCATTAAGTTACTATACTTGTTACTTGTTTTAAACAAAGATTAGAGGCCAGTGAAATAGAAATGAGATTTCAAACTCTAGCAAAACCTGAATCCTTTTTTTAAAATGAGTTTTCTCATTTACAAAATTGGGTTAGGAAGATAGATAATTGTGAGCTTCTTAAGCCTAAACCAGTTATAAAAGGAACCAGACCCTTGGAACGCATCCGTAATGTCCACTGTTTCTTTTGTTCACTGGTGGTTGCAAGCTGGCTCTCTCCCCTGACCCTCTCAATCTTGCTTCTTGGGCAGGATACTTTAAGAACAGTTTCTAAATGTTTTGAAGGCTTCTTTCTGTTTCTTTCTCTTTCTCCTAACACATTCAAGTCTCTCTGATCTTGCAAATACAGATACACATCCATATGTACACACATATGTGTACACATACACACATACACACAAGCTTCCTTGCGCCCCAACCAACACTGCAGTTACTTTCCAGTTCTCTCCCTTCATAGTCACATGTAAGCACAGCCTCCACTAAACTGCCCATGTCCTGTGCTTCTCTCTCTGCTTTATCACCTCCCATTCAGTCTTTAGCCTGGCTGATTTAGGTTCCACACCCACCCCTTTACTGAGCTGTTTTTGCAGAAGTCACAAGTTATGGGGCTAGAACTTCCCATTTCTTACCATGATGTATCTGAAGAATTTGGCACCATTGTTCACTTTCTCCTTCTCGAAATTCTTCCCTCTCAGGGCACTTAGGTGGCTCAATAGGTTAAGTGTCTGCCTTCGGCTCAGGTCATTATCCCGGGGTCCTAGGATCGAGTCCCGCATCGGGCTCCCTGCTCAGTGGGGAGCCTGCTTCTCCCTCTCCCGCTCTCCCTGCTTGTGCGCTCTCTCTCTCTCAAATAAATAAATAAAATCTTAAAAAAAAAAGAAATTCTTCCCTCTCGTGACTCCTCAGACAATATCCTCTCTTGTTTTACTTCCTATCATCCTAACTGCCCTACCCAGTCTCATGCTCAGAATTTTTTTTTCTCAATGATTGTGTTCCCCAGGATTTTTCTGTATGCTTTATCTAGGCTAGGCCGTTCAGTGATAAGCTAATGCCTTCCAGCTTCTGTCTTCATTGCAAGCGTTTTTCTTGGGCTCCCGGCTTTTATTTCCAAGTGCCTACTGGATATTTCTACATGAACACCTCATAATACCATGTACACCATTTCCAAAAAGGAACTCCTCATCTCCCTCACAAACCTGTGGTGGTTCTTCCTGCATTTCCTATCTAAATAAATGGTGTGATCCCTCATCCAGTTACCTGATCTAGATATTTTCTCTGTTTTACCAGCCTGTTACATCCAATCAGACATCAGATCAGCTAGGTTCTTCCAACTAAGTATCTCTGCAGTCTGTCTCCTTGCTCTATTAACTCTGCCATTTCCTTAGTTTAGGTTCCCATTATTTCTCATCTAGATTATTGCAGAAGCCCTTAACAAATCTTCTTGCCTTTAGTCTTTAGTCCTGCCTTCTTCAATCCAGTCTAGTTAAGAGCAGTTACTGGAATCAGATGGTCTGAATTTTTTTTTCTACAGGCAACTGAGGAGTATTATAGAATATTAAACCAAATCTGTAAATCAATACCATCAATAATGTCTTCTCCCCTTACCAAAATATACCTTAGACCACTCTGTTTCATGAGGCTGACTGACCTCAGAAACACATTGGTAGAGTTCATGAAAATGTGTGTCCATGGGACCACATCTTATATTTTCAAAGATTTTTTTTCCTCTACCTAAATGACAGCTTTAGTTTGGAGGTCCTTCTCAAACATTCTCTCTCTTATGGGGACAAATTGAACTTAAATACAGTATGAGTATCTTTTAAGTAACTTGTAAATTGCTGATAAGTAATATGCTACAAACAATTACTGTTATTACAATAAAAGATTTGTCAGAGTTATGATTCAGTTTAACTGAACAGAGATTTCATATTTTTATAATCTTAAAGCAGTATAAGTAGTTTTAAAAAGTTTAGATTTAACTAGCCTATGAGAAAATAAACCCAAATCTTATTTAAAAAATAAACTCTGTAATTATAAACTAAAGGAAAATACATAAAACTTTATTTTTTAGACCAAAGTTACTAGTCTGATTTGTCCAAAGATATACCTTAATTACATGAACCTGGATTATTTTATAAAAATGTTTGTGAGCTAATGTTTCTTAAGAAATTTTTTTAGCTCCAGCACTTCTAAAGACTAAGAATTTCTATTTATTTTCTGTTAATTTTTGAAGCATATAAGATTTAAATAGGTGCCCGGTTACCCCTATAAACCAATCAGAACAAAGCTCTTTAGTTTATGGGTTGTAATAATTTTTTAATACTCTCCAGATGTAGGAAAATACTTCACACTCACACAGGAGTTAAAGGCTTTTCTGAATTACACACAGGTATATTGAGAACTTATAGCTTCTATCCTATAGTATCAGCCACAGGTGAAAACAAAACACAAAAACACAAAAAATTACCATTCAAGATCTCAAGGAGCTGGTGTCCTTTACAATGGACATAAAATATGTTCTTATTTGATTTGGGCTCACAAATAGGCAGACAAGAAAACAAAAAGACTAATAAATTATCTGATCACCAAATGGTGAGATCATAAAACCAAATTCTCGGTCATTACCACCACCAATGGGAAATGACTGATTAGCTGTGCATGTTATAAATGTTATAACAACAAAATTAGCAAAGGTTAAAAAAAAAAAAACCTAGAGAAATAGTGTGTCAGTAAAGTTCAAATTCTGTTTGCTGCCCAGAATTTACTCTACAGGACAAGAAAAGACATAGCCGGGATTAAGCGGCCTTTGAGATTTACTTCCTAAGCAGCACAGGTTTATTTGGCTTCATAGAGTTCACGCTCAAAGGGACTTCCAAAAATGTTACAGAAGGAAATTTTTAGAAAGCATTGAAGCCAGAGATATTCATCCTGGGAGGCCTTTTCACATCACCTTGGGTTCCATCAAGAACAATCATTGCTGTAAGTAAGCCACTGCCATGGGGAGAGTAAAACACCTCTTCTATTGGTGATTAAAAAAAAAAAAAAAAGTCCAAAATCATTTCAGAAAGAACATTATCATAAAACTGGATTATTTGAGAATTGAGAGCATATATATGATAGTATTTTAAAATACATAAATTGGTATTCAATAGTTATGTGTAATCAAATTAGTCTGAAGTCAGATTTATGATTCATTAATGGGAGTCCATAAAAATACTTGCTATTAGGGCACCTGGGTAGCTCAGTCAGTTAAGCATTTGAATCTTGGTTTTGGCTCAGGTCATGATCTTGGTGTCCTGGATTTGAGCCCCGTCTCAGGCTCCTTGCTCAGCAGGCAGTCTGCTTGAGGATTCTCTCTCCCTCTTCCACTGCCCCTCCCCCCACTTGCACATGCGCATTGCACACGCACACTCTCTCTCAAAAATAAATAAATCTGTAAAAAAAAATACTTGCTATCAACAGCTTGATTTAACTTAAGACTTTTGTATCCCTAATAAAGCGAAATACTTTCTCAAATCATAAATCATAATTCATCCTTAAGTTGATTTATTATTCCAGTGAAATGAAGTACAAATTTGAATCTGTACAAGAGTATGGCAGGAATTCTGTGCATGTTTATTCTATAAATCCCCTTTCAGTATTATCTACAACAGTACTGTACAATAGAAATATAATGCAAGCCACTTACATAATTTAAAATTTCTAGTAGCCACATTTAAGAGTAAAAAGAAACAGGTGGTATTAACTTTAATAAACATATTTGTTAACCCAGTATATTCAAACGTTATACTTCCAACACATAACCAATATAAAAAATTTTGAGGACATATTCTACTCTTTTTTGTTTCTAAGTCTTTGAAATCCAGAATGTATTTTTATATTTACAGCACATTCATTTTGAAGGAGCCATACCTCGGGTACTCCATTAGTCACATGTGGCAAGTAGCTACTGTATTGGACAGAACAGATCTATAGGATTACTTTTATGGGGACTCATTTAGCCAACACATCTTATGCCATGCTGTTATAAATATTTTACATCATAAATATTATAAATATGTTATAAATAGAAGTCTAAGAGCTTACCAAGTGTCTAACCTAATGGTCCAGGGAATTGTGATTTCCTCCCTCCCATCCCATGGAGTTTATGAAGTAGAAAATGCATTAAAATTCATGTCACTAAGAATTTGTTCATAAAAACAAAATCCAGAGTAAGTATTTGCCCTTTACCTTTCAAGTCTTTTGGACCCAGTGATTAGACTCATTATTAGTTTCAATCAATATGCATAGTATAACAATGATAATAACTGCTTTAAAATGCTAATCAACTACATACCTCATTTCTTTAAATTAAAAATATTATTTTAGACAAACTACCAGTGAAATCACTTGTCTGAATTACAAGACTCTGAAAAGACTGGTTCCTTGATAGCTGCCATTGGGCAAATGATGAATGAACTATTAGAGTGGAGTTTGGAGTTTCTTCAGATATTAACTCGTATGAAAGGCACATTTTACTTGGAATGTTTTTACTTTAAATCTTACCCTGAACATATAGCATATAACATACACACAGAAGTAATTAAATCTTACCCTCTGACCTTTACGTCCCTCAGCGACCTGTCCACCCTGTAAATTCACTATATTCCACCTAACTATTCTCATTTGTCAAACATTTAATCATAATCTTTAAGGAAGTTAAATAGGTCATTCAACAAAAGTTCATTTATCAATCAGTTATTTGGAATTTGGGACTTTTAAAAATAAAGTATGGGTTTTTTGGAAAGCCTACCCAAGAGCCTATATCTTTAAAAGTACGTATTTGTAGTTGGAAAAAATAGTAGAAACACTTTTGCAGGTATTGTAATTAAAGCCCAAAGATAATGCTCCTGAATAAAATAGTGTTGTCACGTTTATCTTGAATACTGATGCTTAAGGACAATGCAGATTTACTTAGAGGAAGGTGAGGAATTCTGTTTTTTCATTATTTTTCTGTTATTATATAAGTTTCAGGTATACAGCGTTATAATTTGACATCTGTATTCACTACAAAGTGATCGCCACCCCAAGTCTAGTTACCACGCATCACCATACAGTTGCCCTCTTCATCCACTTCACCCACTGCCCAAACCCCTTCCCCTCTGGTAACCACTAGTCTGTTCTTTGTATCTACGAATTTGTTTTGTTTTATTTTGTTTGTTTATTTGTGTGGGGTTTTTTTAGATTCCACATGAGTGAAATCATGCAATATCTGTCTTCATCTGATTTATTTTGCTTAGCATATAATACACTCAAGTTCCATCCGTACTATTACAAATGGCAAGATTTCATTCTTTTTTATAGCCAAGTAGTAGTCCTCTGTATAAATTCTCCACAAAGTCTTATCCATTCATCTATCAGTGGACACTTAAGTTGTTTCCATATCTTGGTTATTGTAAATAATGCTACAATGAACATAGGGGTACATGTATCTTTTCAAATTAGTCTTTTTGTATTCTTTGGATAAATGCCCAGAAATGGAAGAGCTGGGTTATATGGTAATTCTTTTCTTAATTTTTTGAAGAATCTCCATACAGATAAGGAATTTTTAACCAAAAGCCTGGTTTATAACAGGTATATAGGTTAATTAAAAGGACTTTTTGAAGATTCTAAAAGATACTTCTGGATTCCTTCAAAAGGAATGGGAGTAAACAAACTTCTGGAGTTCGACAATGCACAATACAAATAATGGCTCCCCCATTTCCTAGAATGTGACCCTGAATTTTCTCAGATGTAAAACAGGAATAATTATACCTACTCTGAAGGATAATCACAAGGATGGAGTTAACTGAAATAATACAGTGCTGAGCACAGAAAAGGTGCCCAGTTGTCTTTGTTCCCTTCCCTTTGATCTTTGTTATGCTTCATATCACTTCAAGATACACACCTTCTCTTTGGTAGAGTTATGTTCCAAGCACTGCCTATTCCCCACAAATGGGGTTTGTTTCAAATGAAAAGAAGGCAAAGAAGAAAAGTACAACAGAGAGGGACTTAAGAAAAGATTCTTATGATATTACTGAGCAAATATCATAGAAGACAGAAGAAAAAAGGGGTTGAGTGAAGAGAAGAGGGGCCGGGGAAGAAGGTTAGATTGCCCAGGAGGGAGTTAACTGGTCTGGAGTCACTGAAGGGCAGGAACAGTTGTTAGTGTCCTCACAGGGGATAAGGGTTGTGATAAAATTCAGTAGGACAGGTACGACTACCCAGTGCGGGCCTGCTCAGTTCGGTTTTCTAGTACTAAGACAGGGTTGGAAGATACAAAGTGACCTTAGGGTAGACGTAGTTAGGAGAAGGAGGTCTGCCATCAGCCATTCATATCGTAAGACCTAACGGGAAGCATGTAAAATCCAACAAATGCCCACATTTTAATTTCTGAAATTTCTGCTTAATATGTTTTCATTTGTACATATTCCGAACCGAAAGCTTTTCTAGTAGGATGATAAATTATCTAACATGGTAACGTACACACAGAAAATGGTTCAGTCAGCATATGTTAAGTAAAAAAATACAAAAGTTTTTTAAGTTTAATATAACAGTCCTCTCTGTTAGTCGGGCATGAGTCAAATGAAAAAAGAAAAGCCTTCCACTGTGCCTTGAAGTTAATAAGGAAGCACATGGAAAAAGGTAATCTCCACGGTAATCAGAGCTTGAAAGATCAATACTCACTTAGAAACAAATAGGTTATCAATTTCTATTCGTTCTCTACCACTGTTGCAGCTGGAGGCCTTCAGGAATAATGAGAATATATGTCAGTAATGTAGTATGTGACCTTAAAACAGTTGTTAATCAGATCTTTTTAAAAGCTACTTAAAACTGTGAAATGTGGAATTCTTCCGTATTCTCTGCTTTTGGATGCCACCAGTTTCATAAACTTCATGACCAGAAATAAAAGCAATTCTTTAATTTCAGATTTCTTTTTACTATGCCCATCAGTGCTATTTTTGGCATGTCTTTGTTAAGGTTTGAAAACCAGGAAGGATTTTATAATTTAGGTCAGGATAGAGATAGATCAGCTTTTAGTGGCTGATGATAAAAAAAAAAAAAAGTAAGGCTTTGATGTATAAATGGGGCTTCACTCACATCTGTGTAATAGGTTAAAAATCATAGAGACAAGTGCGATCCTTCTAAATTAACTTCTGCCTATGACTTGCAGAGAGAGAGAGAAAAAAAGAAACACACACACACACACACACACACACACACACACACACACACACACACACACCTGACATCGGCATCCTAGAGCAATGAAGAAGTGGATTCTGAAGTTACAACTTTTTGGTCAAATGGGTAGTTAAGAACTGACAAACACTATCTTACTCTTACCCAGCCACACCTAATCTCCCAACAGTACCTGTATGTTTAGGTGCATTCAGGAAACATTTATTAAACACTGACTATGAGCCAAGCATGGTACTTGGTGCTAAGGATACAGAAATGGATGAGACCTAAGGCAGTAAGAGTCTGGTCAGGTTGTCAGTCTGGCTTCACGTGAGCCCAGCCCAGCAATGAGGACTTGACACACTGCATAAAGCTGTAGTCATTTTTATAACTGTGTCAGGTGAGACACTTCAAGCTTTCTCAATATTATTTAATTGTATTTAATTCCTATAATTATCCCTGAGGTGTTGTCCTTCCCAATTAACATAGATGAAGGACCTGAAGCAATTACTTAACACAGCTACTTAAGGTTTTAAATAACTTGCCTAAAAGAAGTCAATGGTTTGTTCCACCAAAGTTCCAACTTACATCTGTCATATTTCATTCAGTTTGCCATTTGCTACTTCTAGAATTGTTTTTATCCCCACTTGAACTAACTACTCAGTGATAAGATATGCCGCATTAATTACCTAATGTTCATTAGTGAGCTAAAAGTCTGCAATTAACTAGTGAAGGACATCTCGTAAAATTTTTCTTCCTAACTTAATTTCGGTGACATCTATCTGTCTTTCATATCACTTAAAATCTTAAACAGCAATATGGGCTTCCTGGATGCAGAGCTGATTTTCAGGTGAATCAATAATACAGCCCTTTCTATATATTGTTATATCATTCTTCTTCCTACCTCTTTAATCATACTTTACTGTCATCTGATACTGATCATGAAAAATCAGTGGATCTATTACAAACTCATAACATGGATGACATCCAGCCACACTAAATTTCAGGAAGAAACTGAGGAAGATGAATGGTTGTAGCTGTTGCCCAACAGCTGGCCCTAATGACCAATGACAACAAGAAAAGTTCAAAGCGGCCCCATAATGTTTTATAGATATAAAAGAATTAATAGGGATTATATATTAAAGAAAAATAACTGTTCAGGAAAATGTCGTGTCGATTTCTTAGCATTATTGAACCTAGGGGTGACATGTCATTCATCCTAGACTTAAGAGAGAATTAAAACATGGAAAAAGAAATAGATATTTATCTGTGTTATACTTGTAGTTAAGTAAGAAACCCTTGGTAAGAATGAATATCATCAGAAGTGAATTTAATGACATCAGAAATAATTTCTCTCCCCCAACATAAAAAGTATACAAAAAGCATTAAAATTAAACATATTAGGACCATATGATAGTCATTCTCAGGTTTCCTGCTATGGGAACATGTACTGGGTGGCAAATAATGTGTTTCTGCGAGGTGACAGTGACAGAATACTGAAAGGACTATAGTGTATCTAGTCTCATTTGCACTTAACTTTATTTCATTTATTTCTTTGCCAAATTATACATGGAGCAACTTCTGTGTACCAGGTATTATTCTAAGTGATGGAGATAAAACAGTGAACATGATAGATGATGGAATCTGTTTCTATGGGGTTGGGGGGAGAGATAGACAAGTTACAAATCACTTACAAAACAGTGTGACAAGTGTTTCAGTGATGTATTTAGAAAATATAGGTTGTATCTGAACATACTGGAGAGCTTGGCAAATCAAGGAAAATCTTTCAGGAGAAAAGTGACATCTTGGCTGAGGCATAAAGGATAGTTCTGGCTGTGACATAAAGGATAGAAAGAACTTAGCCAAGTAAGGATGGTGAGGGGAAGGGATAAATTAGTACCAGGCAGAGGGAACATCCCCTACAAATGACAGGAAGTGAAAGCAGCATGGCATGACCTTAGAAGGTGAAGAAGGGAAGGTGACAGGTAAGTTTCCAGATCATTCGGGATCTTTTAAGACAAAGTGAGTAATTTAGACTTTCTCCAAACAGCCCTGAAGAGCTACTGAGAGATTTTAAGCAGAACTTTGCATTTTAAAGAGATCATCAGACCGTGATATGGTACAAGTACTTTAATAGACTTTCATAGGTAATCTAAGATGGCCATTCCCTACCCAATTCCACAGTGCAGTGAACAGTGCCGGAGTGGTTTTCTTATGGCGGTGTTATTATGTGTGGCCTTAGGAGAAAGAACATCTGAGTTACAAACTGATAATAATGCAAAATCATTCATCATTAAATCATAGAGCACTAGAACTCCATGATCTTATGTATCAGAAGACTAAAGCCCAAGAAGCAAAATGGCCTGCCAAGGTTGCGGGGTGACAGTGCCTCAGCAGCCCAGTCAGGCCTAGTTAGGCACTTCCTGACTCCTCACTGTTTCTACCTCAGGAGGGTTTCAAAGGAACAAGGCAGCTGCCTTCAGGAGGGTCAAATTCCTGATTCCTGATTCCTGATTCCTGATTCTTCTTTTCACTTAGGAACCTTTCACAACCTTCTTCCTCAATGCAAATGATGGAAAGTTTGACCATCCAGATCGAACCTTCTCGTCGGTTGCAAGATCTTGGAGAACTAGTCAGAGAGATACTTCTGATGTAAAGGTAGGTTCTTTTATTTGTTGATAGTAATTTAATTTCAAAATATGCTGAAATCTTGATTTATTTTATTTAATTGGATGTATAAGACAGTTTTGTTCCATGGTATGTTAAAATCATGTGGTACATCTAACCTAAAAGGAAACTAGAGGCAATAATTTTAAGCATCACAGAAAATGATTCAGAATTCATTTATATTATTCAGTTAAGGTGTTTTTGTAATTTCAAAAAATTCCTATCTAATTTAGATCAAATAATCTGGAGATGGAAAAAAAAAAAGGCCATAAATTGCCTTTCCTGCTGTTAACTCAATATTTGGCCCATTCCATAAAACACAGCAGGAACTGGATTTGACCTTAATGTGTCATATTGTTATAGCTTGCCCAGCTTTGGGTTTATGTAGCCTGGGGCAATTAATAAAGCATTAATGACAAGACCCATTTAAAATGTAGGCTTTTCTGTACAGCCTTAGCTTTTACTTGACTGTGCCTGGGGATACTATGCAACAATACACATTAGATTAAGTCAGCACACACACAATACCCAGAAACAGCCAGAGAGCAGAGTAATTTTACATTTGGTACGATTTAACTATTGTTAAATACAAATATTTGTTATTCGTTTATATGGGCTTTTGTCTCCTAAAAAAGGGTTGTATTCAAAACAATAACATACATTTGTTCTCTCATTTTTCTCAATTTTTTCTCTGATAACGAGATTTGATCAGGTTACTGCAATAGGTATATGTGTTTCTTTCTAAGGCCTCTTTCTTCAAGGCAGTTTTTCCCCCATCACTGCCACTCATATTGTTAAATATAAAAATAATATGGAATTATTCCATTTAGGGTCTTAATCCAACAAAAGGCAGTGAATTAAAGTCAAAATTATCATTTTCATATTTACGTTTGTCTATTGCAAACATTTTTAAAGGCAATTACAGTGTTACTGAAGTGTAAGAAAACTGGATGAATACAACTTTGTTTGGTTCTTTTTGAAAGCAGAAAACAAACAAAATGGATCCAAGTAGTGTGTAGCTTCTCCATGTATTTTGTTCATTACTATCAAAGTTTGCATAAATGAATATTAATTTGTGCATATAACATATTCATATTTGGAAATAAGATAATTTAACATGCATCCTTACTATACTAAATTCTTAAGGCATACACTTTTCTCCTAGCAGCCTTATAACTTCACTGAGGAATTAAACTCTAAAGTATCCATGAGCCATCAGTTAACTCCCTACCAATGAAATCAGGGAGAGAATCTGTTTCTTATTTTGTAACATTCTCAGAATTTACCCAGAAAATGAGGAGTCCAGAGGCTTCTAGAATTAGCCTAGTGTTCATAAAAAGCACTCAATAAATATTTTGTGTTTGAATTAAATATTATTATCTATATTTTAAGGCTTCCTGTTATATTTAAGGTTATTCATATCTTAATTCAGAGCAGTATCCACATTGTATCAAATTATTTCAAGTGAAAATGCCTGCTCACTCTTATCAGACATCATCACAAAAAAGAAAATGGGCTTTTCAGCTTAATTCAAAGACCTACCCTCATAGACACACACACACAGATCAAAGTTAATCATTCTAATATACATAAGTAGATATGGTGTTACACTTTACTCTCTATCCTGAGAACTTTATTGATGCTTCTCATCACCAAAAATATCTCACCAAGGTACAGGTCAGTCTCTGATGACGAATGTTTGTATCAGGCTTTTCCCTCTACAACTGCTAGGATTTCTCCCAGAGTTTTCCTGTTCTGGAACTTTCAAGAAATGCTTACATTTTGTTACCAGTTGTGTTCCTTTGGTTCCTGGGGGTCACATCATCAAGGACAAAGACCAATGTGGCTGTCGCTAACTGGAGAGGTTTTTTATTTTTTATCCTCAAGCAGCTGTGCCGAATACAAACAGGACCTATTCCCCCACCCCCGGACTTAATTAGTTCATAAGAAGCTCATTTCCCCAGCTTGACATTGCACAGATTTTTCGCATTTTCAGTTCTCTTTCATATTTTATGATAATCTCTCTTGAATATCTTTCCATGTAGACCCTTTCTTTTTCAAGGCTGCACACTGCACACATACACAATAATTTATGTAGACAATCTCCTATTTAGGGGTAGTTTGTCTTTCTCTCTGATTGTTACTATTCAACACAAGGCTGCAGTAAACACCCTTGCACAGTGATCTTGATGAACTTTGCGTATACATGTAAAGGATAATTTCTTTGGCTATCTGCATTTTTAATTTTGAAAGATATTGCCAAACCATTATTCCCAAAGATGATAATTCACTCCCTAGAGCAGTGTGTGAAGATGCCTCCTTCCCCACGCCCCACCATCACTATTATAATAAACAGTGTAATTTTTGCTAATCTGGTGAGTGAAAATTTGTTTGGGCTTGCATGTCATTAATTGTGAGTGAAGTTGAGCATTTTCATGTTTCGTATTTCAATAATTGACCCGTAAACTTACTCATATCTTTTCCCATTTTTCATTTGGATTAAATATCTTTTTCTTACTGATTTGAAAAAGATCTTGGAAATTGCATCAAATTGCATTACAAGTATGGTTTCTCAGTCTTTCTGCTTTCCTCTATTTCAAGTGTGTGTGTATGTGTGTCTGTTTGTCCAAATGTATCAATCTTTCCATGTATGGCATCAGAATTTGAGGGTTCTCATTAAGGAAATGTTAGAGAGGTTTTTTTGGTAATACTGGTAGTAACTTCAGACTTTCTAAATTCACATTTAAATACATTGATTAAAACACGATATTTTTTTCCCTCTGAAATAATACTTGATTTGGCAGGGAAGAATATGTTACCAAGAGTAATAATAGTTTTGCTGTGTGTTAAAACCTAAGCTTTTGATTTCTTATCCCTAAGAAATATCCCTGTTAAATAAAGCATTGGATATAATTTTAAGGAAATGCATTTCCATTTGTGAATAAAAGAATGTCTAGCAATATCTCCTAGCTTAGATAATCATATAAGAAATCATATAAGAAAGAACTAGAATGGAGTAGTTGGTTTCATTCTGTCTTGCTTTATTAACATCAGTCTCTTCCTGTGGTAATGCATACAAGCTGGGCAGCGATGGAGTGTTGGTGAGGTGACCTTTCAGGAGCCAGGTCCCCTGAGTTAAGTCAGACTTGTTAGTTTTTACTTTATTTTTATTTTATTTTTTATTTCTCTTCTCTAGGGTAATCTTGGTAACAACGACATTCAGCTTACTGGAGTTCTTATACTGAGATTCCTTAATGCCTTCAAAAGTTGTTATATTACTTTTGAATAGCTATGTAGATGTCAGGAAAGGTAGCTGTGACAAAATGTCATTAAGGTGACATAGTGTAAATTAATACAGTTAATGGAGGTGCTCGCCACTGACTCATTGACCCATTATGAGCTCTTGTGGAATTAACGAATGCCAGGGCATCAATCTTTTGAAAAAAAGGAAGAAAAGAGATGGCAGCTTTAAAACCTTGCAGTGAATTATATTAGAGAAGTGAAAAAGTCTGGGTTGGATTTGATTTCACTAGGAAGCCATAAAATGGTATGCTCTCTCAGCAAAATATATTAAACTGAAATGTCAGATTTGATGCAATAGGTATACAATTATGATAGTGTTAATAGTGGTCTTCTATCACTCTAAGACATACTTTCAAGTCCAATTTCTCAGCAGCTTGAACTTGTCATAAGCTTGTAAATTAGAAATTGTGTTTGAGGATATTTTCTTATTATTGAGAGAACGCGTATAACACTATTAACTGTACCATGGGGTTTTAGTATAGCTGTTAAAATAAACCAGAAATCACATTTACAGACACAAAATGCCTGTTATAATATTCATCTTGCCATTTCTTTGATAGTATTTGGTGTCTTTCCACACTGTTTTTCATTTAGGAAATCTTAAGCTACTTGGACTCTTAAAGAGAAACTGATTAACAGAAATCAATGGGAAGAGAGTAAGCAGGAGAGCTCTTATGTGAAGTAGGCAAGTTGATACCTAAAGTGCTCTGAAGGAGCACACTTACCAGTTACAAGAGTAGCATGCATGCTTTCTGAATGGTTCTCAATAGTTTTTAAACTGCTTTTTTGTCATTTATTTGATAGTCTTCAGAACAGCCCTGTGAGATAGCTATCCTTATTCTTGTTTTGTAAAGGAGATCCACGGATATTAAGTGGCCTGCCTAAATTCACAGAGTAGATAAGGAAGAAGCGAGAACTAGCACTGAGGTCTGTTTAGTTATTCATACTGCCTTTTCATTGATTGGCGTGCTGCTTTAATTCTTCTGCATAACTGTATAATCATATCCAGCCACTTGGACTAGTTTCGAATCATTGATCAATCAAGTGTTACTTTAGTCATTTATTGCTGTGCAACAAACCATCCCAAACCTTAGTGGCTTAAAAAAAAAAAACACAGCCATTTATTTCCCTAGAGTTCTGCAATCAGAGTAGGGTTCATCAGGTACAGCTTGTCTCTGATCCACCTGGAATCAACTGGGGTGGCCTGTCTGGGTCTGGGGGATTCGAAGTGACCTCACTCACTTATGTGTTGCCTCAGCAAGGATGACTAGAACTGCCAGGGCCTGGCTGGTCTTCTCTTTCTCTATAAAGTCTTCCTAAGAAAATCACACTTTCTTTCCATGGTGGCTTGCTAGCAAGAGGATTTAAAAAAAAAAAAAGAAAAAAAAAGAAAGAAAGAAAGAAAGAAGGGAACTGCAAGGCTCCTTAATGCCTAAGCTTGAAAGTCACATAGTGTTACCCCCACAGCATTCTGTTGGTCAAAACAAGTCACAGGGCCAGCCCAAGTTAAGGAAGGGGAGCAATGATCTCTACCTCCTGGTGAGCTGAGCAGCAAAGTCACATTTCAAGGGGACATGGAGGTTAGAGGGGTGTTGGTGGCCCTCTCTGGAAATAGTCTACTAAAGTCCTTTCTCTGGCCACAATTCACATTCCTCCTAGATGCAAAATACACTCAACTTGTTGGGTTT